GACCCCCAAAGGGGTCGTGACCCACAGGCTGAGAACCGCTGCTCTAGACCATATTTTTTGCCTTTTAGCATGCCTTGTAAATTTTTCTGTAGAAAGTCAGACACGATATACAGGTAAAAGCAACTGAGGTTTTATGTTTATCTGGCTGGGAGTTAGGCTGTGTTTCTAGTTTGCTATAGCTGTAGGTGTCAGAGGCTAAAATTTCCTCTGATGTCCTTATCTTTGGGTTTCCCTAGAGAGTCCTTCTTAAATACTCTAAGCTTGTATTAATAGTATTCTTCCAGATGTAATCCCGTTATTACATAGAAGCCGTACTGATGTGTTGGTAAAATGCGGGCAAGTGAAAATAGTGTTCTATTATCCTCTTAGGTCTCAGTCTTTCAGTGAGCTTGTTTCCCTGGACTGACCTTCACAAATATTTCTTGTCTTTTTTCTCCCTTTAGGTGAAACAAGGTTAGCAGCTGGAGTTGGTTGTTTTCCTTCTCTCACATTGATTAGGCTGTTAAAGTTTTCCTTGAAGGCAGGCTTTTGTTAAGAACTGAATGCCCTGGGTGTATTTCACAATGGCTACCTTTCCCCTCTACCTGCCAGAAGGATGAGATTATTCTTTAATCTTTATAGTAAGACCTGTGGGGCTCCTGGAAGTAAAACTCACAAAAATGTGGGGGACCTCTTAATTCTAGGCCCCCAGGAGTGTTTTTAATCTCTCAATCTGTCCCAATTTCAGTTTCCAGCAATTAGTCAATTGTGCTTTAAGTATTCCTATTAGTGGCTGGTTCCAGTGTTTTCTGGCTCCACAGTAAGCCATGATTCTGTTCCATCTCTCCAGTTTTTGTGGTGTGCCCTGTCACCTCAATTCGCTGATGCATCTAAGAAGGATTGTTGATTTTCAGTTTGTTTAGTTTTTTTTCTTTTTTGGTTGTGAGAATAGGAGTGATGACTTCCAAGCTCTTTACATGTCAAGCTGGAAACCAGAAGCTCTTGTCTATTGTATCTGTATGGAGGAAATACTGTGATGGTGTGTTCATCTCTTCCCAATTTTATGATCAGTGATAGTCACACTGGTAGCTTGAAATTGGCTATGGTGGGAGATACTACTATAGAAATTGGCAAATGCTATAGACAAAGGCTTGACTTATTTGTTTTATTGATTGTCTAGAATTAAGAAAGTGATAGAGGAGGGCCAGTGGAATGGCTCAGTTGGTTAAGAGCTCGCTCAAGAGTGTGAGCTCTGAGCAACAGCGGTTCGAGTTCCGGCCTGAGCTGAGCTGCCACTGAGCTGCCTACAGGTGACAGGATGGCTCAGCTAAAAAAAAAAAAAGAAAAAAGAAAGTGATAGAGGACAAGTTAATTATGTAAATTAAGTTTAAAAGTGTATCATGTATGTAGCCATTACATTATCAATAGCACAAAAGATTGAAATATTCTTCCAGTATTCAAAAACTATTATCCAATTCAGCAAAGATGTTGCTCAAGTCATTGACAAATAAGTGAAGTTCCAACGTAAGTCTCATTGTTTTACTTTCATCTTATTAATGCAAAGGAAAATGTCAACCAACAGTCAAAGCTATATTGGTTTGTCAAATGCAGTCATAGGTTGGTTCTTGATTCGAGTTTGGCAAAACTCAATGAAAGCATTCTGTGAGAATCAGCTGGCTATACAAAATTTACAATAAGATTGTATATTTTATTTTTTATAAATTGTGTTACACATCCTTTTCTATCAGTAAATTTTAAAATAAACTTTATGAACGTATACATACACATACAATTGTTTTTCTGATAGCTGGTTGTTAATAATTTAGCAACACACACACACTATGGCCAATTTCAAGATATCAACATGACATCACTGAATGTGGAGTTGGGGATAGTTAGGAATAGCACACCATCTTTTCATATTTTAATTTGGAGACTATAGGAAATGTAGGGAGAAACTGTTTTAACAGTAGTAAATGGTAATGTTTGACATGACTGAAATATGACATTCATAAGCAAAATAAGATCAAACCACAAAATATGGTATAATCCTGTACTAGATTAATCTAGGGAATAGGTAGGAAGAGTAGCCTCATAGGTGTGCTTTACAGGAAATGGAGTCCTATTTAAACTAACAAGAAATTCCTCTGGTTTAAGGTTTTGCCAACCGTTCCTTAAGGGCAATGTACCAGAAGGTTAACATTATTTTGAAAATAAACATGTACTGAATACCTACTGTGTGCCATATGGTGTTGTCAGGATGCAGAGATGACATTTAAGATCACACAGCCAGTTAAAAGAATATCTGGGAATTTTGAGGACATTAAGTGAAATAAGCTAGTCACAGAAAGACAAATACTGTATGACTCCACTTATATGAAGTATCTAAAGTAGTCTAACCTGTGGGAACAGAAAGTGGAATGGGGTTGTCCGGGCTGGGGGATGGGGAAATGGGGACTTGTTCAATGGGTATAGAGTTTGTTTTGTAAAAAAAGTTGTAGAGACCTGTTGCATAATAATGTGAATATAGTTGATACTACTGAATTGCACACTTAAAAATGATTAAGATGGTTAAAAAAAAATAGATGGGATTTGAATCCAGGCCTGACTCAAAAACTCATGTTTAACAATTATTTTATTATCACTGCTGTTATCACTACTTTTAAATAATTTCATCTTCAATCAAAGAATCTTTCCTTCCTCTGATTTACACAGGTCTTCCTCTTCTGTATGCAGGGTGCAGGGTAGCAAGCCACTGGTTTGCAGATGCATTGCCTGAAACCTTACAGATACCAGGACTTTTTCTTGGAAGACTGGCATACTGAGCTAGGATAGCAAATTCAAAATGGAGTAATCAATTCAATAGATTAAGTAGAGAACCAAACACAGGTCAGGGAAATAGGCAAGAGGGATCTAGGTGAAATAATTTTGGCTTGTAAAAGATCACACACATGACTACATAACTGAAAAAAATGTTTATTCTATTAAAATAAAAAAGTCTGTGATGGAAGAAGTTTGAAATTATACTTGAAAAAAAGTTATAACTTGATGCTAATTTATATTTTCCTGAATCTCATTTTTTCCAGACTAAAATGGAGCTAAGGATATCTGTAGGCAGTATTTGGCAGAGGAGGGTCTGAAATGGAAGGAAATGCTTGTGAGAATGAATTATAATCAAACTTACTGTGTGGGAACAGCCATATCTAGAAATGATGGCACTCAAAATATATAAAAAAAAATGATTCTATTACCCAAATTTAATCAAAGTAAATTGAGTGTTCCAGAAAAGAATCTAGTTTGCTGGAATGGAAAGAACAACAAAATTAGACTTGTTTTAAAAATCTACACCTATAAGCAGTGCGAACTACTTAATTTCGATGAGCCTCAGTTTCTTTATTGTAGGGTATTGTGAGCATTTATTTCACATTTATTGACTAGTAGGGCCAGGACTGTACTAGGCAGGTGCTAAGGATACAAAAATGAAGGAGGCACCGTCCTTGCCCTCAATATTAATACAGTGTAGTAACCATTATAACATCTATTAAGTGTTTTCTATGTGCCAGGTACTATTATAAATACATTTAACTCATTAAATCGTCATTTAAAATCTTTCTCACAATCTAAAACATAGGTGCTATTGTTATCATTTACATTTGTACAAGAGGCAAAGAGAAATCTTGCCCAGGATCCAACAGCCATCAAACACTGGGACTGGGCCACATCTTGACAGAGGACAGACACTTACAATATTGTGCATGTGCAGGATGGTGCAGGGTGGTGTGCAAGCGTTCCACGCTGAAGGAGCAGTTTTAGTTCACCCGTTCGCAAAACAGGGATTAAAACATTACTACCTCTTGAGGTTGTGCCGATTAAATGAAATATTATAGTATATTTAACAGTATTGTGCCTGGACCATAGTACGCGCTAAATTAATGCTATTAATTTCAGTTTATTCCTTTAAGTTGGATCACCGCGGCGTAGCCAAGCACGCTTTCAAGGCGTCAACTACATACAGGCTTTTCAAATGCGTAATTTACGTTACTATCAACAACGTGAAAGCCTTCTAGTTGTTTTATGTTCCGATACACGATAGGGCCACTCTCTTTGATGACTTTTTTCCGTTTTCGAGTCTCACCTATTTTCTCTCTCAAGTTCTCCGTCTGTCTCATTTTATTTCACCACCTCCACCACAAACGAAATTCACGGAGGAGCCACGGTGCGGCGCGTGGGCGCGCGCTTCATGCAGCCACAAACGTTGCTACACCCACCTAACCCAATGCGCGAACGCTCGACCGAGTTCACGCGGGAGGAGACGCGATCTTGAACAAGAACGTCTAACCCCACCCTACCTCCCAGGGGTCACATGACTGGCGCCTGCGTCCTCGACCCAAGGTCTTTCCTGGCCGCCTACTGGCTGTTTACTTGACTACATGCTGTCGCGAGGCTCATTCCGGAAGTGGGCACTTCAACTATACTCCTCGGCGGAAGCGTGTCACAACCTAGCCGTCCACTCGTAGCGGAAGTTCGTCACGGCGCAGTTGCCGCCGTACAGCGGATGTGTGTCGCTGCGTAAGTGACGCTGGAAAGTGCTTGCAGCCTCCGCTGCTGCCTTCTGGTTGAAGCACTATGGAGGAAGAGAGGAAGAACAACAAACGGTGGTATTTTACTCGAGAGCAGCTGGAAAATAGCCCATCCCGGCGTTTTGGCCTGGACCCAGATAAAGAGCTTTCTTATCGTCAGCAGGCGGCCAATCTGCTTCAGGACATGGGGCAACGTCTTAACGTGTATCCTTGCGGCCTAGGCCTTCGGCCTTGGAGCCAGTCCCGCTTTGCTCTCACGTCCAGGTCTCAGGGCCTGTCAGAGACGGTAGGGGGAAAAGGGTGGGCAGGGGCAGGATGTCTAGGTGAGAGAGCCTACGATGGGGCGGGCTGAAGTTCACAGTGTTCGCGCGAGGGTGGCGAGGCGGAGTTAATTTCCCGCTCGCTCACCGGGGCCACCAATCTTTCCGGGAATTCGTATCCTTCCAGGCTTTGTGTTTTAACTGGCCCTTCCTAGACCCTTTTCAGTGTATTCTGATCTCCTGTGCCGGTGACTTTGAAATTCTGCTTTTCTGCTATGCCCTAGGGGTCTGGTGGAGGTTTCTCCTTTGATGGCTGCCTCTTGAACTTAGTGTGTAACGAGAGTTTTGAGAAATTCAGTACCAGAAGGTCTTACGAAGGGTGGCCTAGAATTAATTAATGCCCAGCTTTGGTTCAAAACCCGTTCTTCCCACTTACTAGCTGTTTAAGAAACTTGTCGAATTCTTGGTTTTCTCATCTGTAAAATGCGGTGACGCCTCTTGAATTTGATTTCTATGCCCAACACAGTGCTTGGCACTCAAGTTCAAAGAGTAGCTACTGTTAAGAGTTTTATACACTTTCAGAGGAAGGCGGGATGTCAGTTTAGATTTTAGGGATGTAGACCTACAGATCTAATGGTTTAAAATACTGGGTTTTTAAATACTCAGAATGCTAATGCATACGTTTTTCTCATTTCAAAGGTAAGAGATGTGATTTAAAAAAATGGTGAATGTTTAAAAAAATGTATCACAGTGAAACACATGTTTCTATTAATCCCCCTCAAAATATTCCCCCTCGCTTCGAACACACTTATCCCATCGTTCTTGCCACTTTCTGAAGCAGTTCTGGAAGTCCTCTTTTGTGAGTGTCTGTATTTTTTTATTTTTTAAAGATTTTTTTAATTGGGGAATTGGGGGGATGGGGACAGCACTGGGGAATTGGGGGAAGGGGAACAGACAAGTTGCTATGCTTTAGTTCTTCAGTCTAGTTGTGGAGGATGTTCCTTCACTGGCCCAAGTTGGCACCATCATTGTGCTCTCATGGCGGCCCAGCTCCAGGTTGAGCTGTTGTGCAGCATCTTAGCTGTGGAGGGCAGTGTCGCTGGCCCTCATATGTGGGATCCGAACCGGGGCCCTCTGGCGTCCCAAGCCAGTTCTTAATCATTGCGCCACTCGGCCGGCCCTTTTGTGAGTGTCTTTAGTTGCGCTGGCATGGTTGCCTCGATGTCCTGAATTGATTCAAAATGCTTTCTTTTCATGGTCATTTTGACTTTGGGGAAGAACCAGAAGTTACACCATGCTAGAACCTGTGCCAGATTCGGTGAATAAGGTGAAGTGCTAGAACCTGTGCCAGATTCGGTGAATAAGGTGAAGACACACCGTAATGTTTTTATTTGGCAGAAATTGCTGTACCGATGTGTGACACGGAGCGTTGTCATGAGGGAGGATGAAGTAAAGACACTCATGAAAGAGTACTTCCAGAACTGCTTCAGGAAGTGGCAAGAAAGATGGGATAAGTGTGTTCGAAGTGAGGGGGAGTACTTTGAGGGGGATTAATGGCGATGTGTCTTTTACTGTCATACATTTTTTAAATTTAAACATTGTATCTTTTGATCACACCTAGTAATTTGGTGATTCTTCTCCCCAAGCATTTTTTTGTTTTGTTTTTCATTTCATGTTTATTATCAGTGCTTGAATATAGAATATTTTATAATGTTTAGTGATGTGGTTACCAACAGTTTTTTTTCAAACACCAAGTGGCCAGTATTTTTCTGGTAAAGATCAATTTTCCTGAAACAAAATAACCAACATAATATGACTTTAGCAGATGGTGATACCATCAGCATAATTCACCCAAATTACAATAATAGCAATACTTAAAATTATGCACATTATTTCACCATTTCATAAAAATTTTTAAATTTCTACATACTTTTCTAGTATAAAAAGACTCCTCAAAAACTTGATAACATTAAACTACAGAATACACTCTGGAAATGTAGGAAGTTATTTTTCAAATTTTGACTAAGATTTTTTAATGTTAAAAGATATGGTGAGTGTGTTTAGAGAGGTGGAGGAAAAGGAGCTTCTAGTTGATGGATTTAACATGTCTGAAAATACTTCAGTAATGTAGAGGAAACCCTTCAAGAGCAAGAATGTATTATAAATAAAAGTCAGCAAGGTTAACAGATGAGCAGCTCTTGCATCAGTTGCACCGTTAGGAGACAGGTCTTGAAGACCTCTTTACAGAATCTTCTGTAGAGTTGGCCACCTCCAGTGATGCGTCTTTTACTATTGGGTTGTTGGAAAAGTCATGACGTATTTTTTTCTATGTTTTTCGTTGCAAAAATGCATCATGATTTTTCCGACAACCCAATAGAATATCATGAGTCCATATACTTTTCTAAAAGCTCATCCACTCTGCCATTTAAATATACAATTTGCAGAATGTGTTCGACATTGGTTGCCCCATTTGCCATTATTAAGTCTCCTTGGAAGTCTCTCAAGCAGAATTATGTTGCTGTTGTCTTTTAGTTGATTGGAATACTCTGTTCTTCAGGGCACCATCATGTTTGTTAAATACATGAATTAGCTCTCCTGTAAATCCTTTGGGCAACCCATTGCCATCAAAATCCATGAAGTTGGACTACTTTGACATTTCGATAGTAAACATCAGCTTGACAGATAATCTCTAGTGCATCACTGGTACCAGCCAAAAATTGAACACAAGGATACTGTTGGAGCTTATCAGAGAAATTCTCGTATCATTCCTTGAGCATAACATCAGATTGTGCCATAATTTTTTCAGAGTTTGGTAAAACCTGTTTGACAAGCAAACCATGTGATTTAGTGTACCATTCTACCATCCAAGGGTATTACTCTTCTATGGTAAGAACAAGATCAATTTCAATAGCATAATACTTTTCCTTCAGTTGCAGTAAGTTTTTTCGATGTTCATCTGAAACCAACTTAAAATTGTCAATGACGTTATGACATGTTAGATACCCTTTCCCTTTGTAGGAAATTCTCAGTGTCAAATCAAAGTCTGTTATTTGAAGTTTGACAGCTCCTCCTTTGATAAGACCACAGATAGTTTCTTATACTCTTGTAGGGTTCTTGATGCAAACTGTACCAGTACTTTTCTGAAATTCTGGCACCATTTTCACATGTACAGCAGAATCTTAGTCATTTCTTGGTTATCCAATCTTCCTTAAGGCACCCTTGAGTTTTTCTGTCCATGAATTTGTCCTAGAACAACAGCATATGGCTTGGATATAAGCCATATCTAGCGATGCAGGGCTTGGATATAGGCATCTTGATGACCTTGGTCTTCCACCCCATCTTAAAGGTGAATATGTACTGGGCCAGCACCACCGCTGCCACCAGGGCACACACACTGGCACTGGCTACCATGGCCCACCGTTGCCATGGCCGCCCAGTACATGAACGGGGCCTTATGTGCCTCCCAGGCTGAAAAAAACAGGTCGATTCAAGGATTTTTGTTAGAAAATATACTCATTTTTTAGCAGAGAAAGCTAATATAGTTTCAAGGTTCTTTTCACTCTCTAAGTGAAAAATTATCCTTGGGTGCAGCTTCTGTTTAAATGTATTGCTGTAACATTTGTGTCTTCAAGTGTTCACTTCAAAAGAGGCATTCTCTTTATTGCCAGTATTCAGTTTGTTTCGTAAGCATCTGGTCATTAGTGAATGAAACTTTTTGTTTGAAATTCTGTTTCAGTGCATCTTAGCCCTTTCCTTTCTATGTATGTGTTGTTGTTAAGGTTGTTGCCATCGTAGGACTGCCACATCTCTGTATACCCCACATTGTCCTCTGAGGTCATTAGAAGTAAGGCATTTAAGAGTTTGTCTTAGTGAATTGATGTCAGATCGTTCCAGAGCATTTCTGGTCCCAGGGATCACAACATGAGAAGGCTTGGTTGCTGGAGCTTAGAAGGTGAGGAGATAGTGGAGACATAGCCCGGTCAGGGAGAGTGTTGTAAGTCATGTGAAGAGATATCCTGAGCTAATGGATCACTGTTGCAGGATTTTCAGTAAGTTTAGGCAGGTTTAGGTCCTATAGAGTTTTGTTTATGTTCCTTCTTGATCTACACATGCTGAGAAGCTTGCTTGTTTATTTAGCAAATTTATAGTGAATGCCTGTTATATTTAAGGCGTGCTAATAAGGGCCGTTAGTAGTTAATTCGGTGGAGGTAAGTATGATTTTCATGTAGGAGCATCTACTGTGCCCAGCTGCATGGTGATTTTGGGAGGATATAGAAGTATTTTTAGGAGTTGTACTTTCTGCCTGTTTTGGAGCCTTAACTTGAGCATTTTAGCTCACAATTGACTATCAACACTGCTATAGTATACATGCATCGATTCTACATGATTCAGTCCTTTACACAGTTCCATCGAAATGTAAGTATAATTTCTTTATATGGTATAGTCCTTTTGTGATTAATTTCAACTTCATATTTCTTTTGTGGTTAATCTTTGCTGCTGAACTGGGATTTGAAGTTTGTTTTTTTTAAATTGCTTTTTAAAGATTTTATTGAGGAATTGGGGGAGGGGAACAGTGCTAGGGAATCTGGGGAAGAGGAACAGACAAGTTGCTGTCCTTTTGTTCTTCAGTCTAGTTGTGGAGGACGTTGCTTCACTGGCCCATGTTGGTATTATCATTGTGCTCTTCCAGGGTGAGGCAGATCGGTCGCCGGCCTCTGGACGGCCGCTCACAGCAGCTCTTGGCAGCTCACGCTGGCTGCTGGCTACACATGGTTCCTTATGGCAGCCCACTGCAGCAGGGGCTGCAGCCTGTGCCGTCGCTGGCGACTCATGGCAGCCCAGCTCCAGGTCGAGCTGTTGTTCAGCATCTTAGCTGTAGAGGGCAGTGTTACTGGCCCTCATGTGGGATCCAAACCAGGGCCCTGCTGCTCAGAGCTGGCGTCCTAACCCAGCTCTTAACCAACGCACCACTCGGCCGGCCCTGGGATTTGAAGTTTAGAATTTAAGGTTGATCACATTCATTATGTGTCACTGCTGTTCTGAATCCAGCCTTCCAATTTTCCTATGCAGGGTCTAGTTAGTTGTTAAATTTAGTAATCCTTAGAGTAGGTGGAGTCTTTAATAAAAAAATAGATTATTGAGGGCCAGCCGAGTGGCGCGGTGGTTAAAGCTGGCTTGGGACACCAGAGGGCCCCGGTTCGGATCCCACATGTGTGGGACAGTGATGCTGCGCCCTCTACAGCCAAGATGCTGAACAACAGCTTGACCTGGAGCTGGGCTGCCGTGAGTTGCCAGCGACGGCACAGGCTGCAGCCCCTGCTGCAGTGGGTTGCCATGGGCTACCATGTGTAGCCAGCAGCCAGTGTGAGTGGCCGGCAGCTGGTGTGAGCGGCCGTCCAGAAGCCGGCAACTGATCTGCCTCACCTGGGAAGAGTGCAATGATGGTGCCAATTTGGGCCAGTGAAGCAACGTCCTCCACAACTAAACTGAAGAACAAAAGGAAAGCAACTTGTCTGTTCCCATCCCCCAATTCCCCAATAAAAATTCAAAAAAAAAAAATCTTAAACAAAAAAAAAAGAAAGATTATTGAGGGGTGATCGGTTAACTCAGTTGGTTAGAGTGTGGTATGATAACACCGAGGTTGCTGGTTCGATCCCCGCATGGGCCACTGTGAGCTGTGCCTTCTCTAGAAGAGTCAACTATTGTGGCATGAAAGCAATGTGTAACCAATGACCATGGCTGTTCCCCAATAAAATTTAAAAAAAAAAGAAAAGAAAAGATTATTGAACATGTAAACTTAACATTTTGGGATGGTGGAGTAGCATTAAAGGGGAAACTGCTTAATTTAAGTGTAATATTTGAACTGGTAAATAATATGATCATAGGAAAACAGGTAAATGTAATTAGATTTATCTGAAGCCCTTTGATACAATTCCAATCAATGACAGGTTGGAGGGGGAAGGTATATTATGTGATAACTGAATATAACTTTTCAGATAGGAAAAATAAAGTAATAGTAATAAAGGGATTTTTTTTTTCTGGACAGAATTGTTAATAGTGCTATTTTCAGTTTTGCTACCTGAAATGGTCCTATTTAACATTATTGTAAATGACTTGGAAGAGAATGCATAGTGATATCCCAGTTGCAGGTAAGACTATATTTAATAAACTCACAAGGTGGCTGTCCAAGTGGCTCAGTTGGTTAAGAGCTCGCTCAAGAGTGCGAGCTCTTGCGAACTCTGGGCCGGCCGAGTGGCGCGATGGTTAAGAACTGGCTTGGGACGCCAGAGAGCCCCTGTTTGGATCCCACATATGAGGGCTAGTGACACTGCCCTCCACAGCTAAGATGCTGAACAACAGCTCAACCTGGAGCTGGGCTGCCGTGAGTCGCCGGCAACTGCGTAGGCTGCAGCCCCTGTGGCAGTGGGTTGCCATGGGCTACCATGTGTAGCCAGCAGCCAGCGTGAGCAGCCAGCAGCCGCAGTGAGCGGCCGTCCAGAAGCCGGCGACTGATCTGCCTCGCCCGGGAAGAGCACAATGATGGTGCCAACTTGGGCCAGTGAAGCAACGTCCTCCACAACTAGACTGAAGAACAAAAGGACAGCAACTTGTCTGTTCCCCTTCCCCCAGTTTCCCAGCACTGTTCCCATCCCCCCAATTCCCCAATAAAAATCTTTAAAAAAAAGTGCTAGCGCTGAGCAACAGGGTCACCGGTTCGATTCCTGGCCCTACCTGAGCTGCCGCTGAGTTGCGAACAGGTGGCAGGATGGCTCAGCTAAAAAAAAAAAACTCACAAGGTAATAGAACTAAACTTGATGAACACTTCATATGAATTTGTGAGTTAAATATTTCTTATTTTATTTTTTTAAGGTTATGTTTTGAGGAAAAGTGTTTCAAATTTAGGATGATGGATTTTGAGCTGTTTTTTTAATGCCAAAGGAAGAGAATCTGTGAAGCTAGATGTTGCTTTTGTAATGTAAGCTATTGGTGGACTCGGTATTGGGAGTAATTGCACATGAAACCTTTCGAATTTGTGGATTAAGTATTCCCAATTTTTGCTGATTATTCAGCCAGCTTGGCTTTCTTCTACCCTTAGCCTCCCTACCTCCACCCATGCTCTACCTCTGATTGCAAGGAGCACACCTTGCAATCAGAGGGCGAGAGAAGAATTTAATGAGGCTGTCTGATAGCTCTAAAATAGAAGGTAGTGGATAAAAAATATTTGAAGAGGAAGTCTATAGCTGTTTTGCCAATTCTGAAAGTTTTCTACGTTTCTTCCCTTTTATTATGGTAGACATTTTAAATCCAGGGTGAAATACATTTCACATCAGTTTGTGCATGCTATTTCCTATCTCTCTCTCTCTCTCTCTCTCTCTCTCTCTCTCTCTCTCTCTCTTCCCATACTTCGCCTTTTAAATTATAACTCCTTATTTCCCATGTATTAAGCTTAGCAAGGACAGAGATTCACTTTCCTGTATATTCTCCAAAGCATCTTTAGTAAACTTACTGAATGAACGAATGATCTGGTAATTATCCAATATAGAGAGATTCTTTGGGATGTCGTGACCTTTTCAAATCCAGTGACTTTTAATTTGGGTTATTGACCCTCTAGAGCAGGGGTCGGCAAACTGCGGCTTGCAAGCCGCATCCAAAAAGCTGCATGTGGCTCATGAGCTGCAGTTTGCCGACCCCCGTCTAGTGAGTTGATTTTAGGCACATTCTGGAATTAACAGATCAAAAATATCACCCCTTTTGTATGTTAATTTTATGTTTAGCTGTGATGAATCCAAATTCAGATTGAGAGAACTGAACACATTGTTGTGGCATTAATAAGTCCTATCAAGCATTCATGCATTTTTCATGTTTTCTTTTATTACAAAGGTAATAAATACTCATGGTAAAAATTAAAACAATATAGAAATGCATAATGTAGAGTGTAATCCCACCCTCCAAAAGTAACCATTGATAAATATTTTTGCATGTAGTGATTCAGACATTTTCTATGCATGTACTAGTATTTATGTATTTCTATAAAAATCACTTCTCCTATACTACTCTTACACAACTTGCCTTTATCACTTAACAGTATATATACTGGACATCTTTTCATATTGTTTTTTTATTATTTTAAAGACCACATAGTATTTCTTTGTGTTGTTACCATAATTTATTTCACCAGCTCCCTACTGGTGGATATTTGGGTTGTTTCTAGTTTATTTTAAATAATGTTAGGTCAGATAGTCTATATGTAGTGCACTTACATGACTATTTTAGTATAAATTCCTGTAGGTGGAATTGCTGTGTCCAAGGGCATGCATTTAAAAATTTTTTGTTGTGTCAGTTTGCCCTGAAAGATTACATCCTTATACATTGTTTCCAGCACTGTAGGAGAGGGTCCTTTCCTCTACATCCTTGCTAACAACAAATATTTGTTACTTTGGGAAATAGTAAGTTCTGACTACCTGTCAAGCACTAGGGATACAATGGTGAACAAGATAGAGGGAGTTCTAAATTATTTTCTTAATTGACATTTCTTTAATTAGTGGAGTTGAGCTGTTTATGCCTATTGTTCACTGTTCTTATGAAACTGAAGAATTAACTTAGAAATTGACTGTTGGTTCACGTTGCCCCGTTTTGTTTTGATTTTCTTATTCATATGAGCACTTTATATATTAGAGCTGTGTGTTGTGTTGTGACTACTTCTCTCATTTTGTTGTATCTCTTCATTGATAGTGTTTTGGAGCCCAGAGGTATTTTTTTTTAAATTTATTTTTTATTTTTTATTGTTGAGGTATAGAGTAAAGCACAAAATCTGAAGTGTGCAACTTGCTTACTTTTTTTGCGTTATTATATATGTAACCCTCATTCAGATCAAGATATAGTAGTATATTTCCAAGACCCTGAAAGGTAGAGAACTTGGCCTTTTGGTTGAAATAAATTTTATTTCTTTAGTGGATGTGATTAAATCACTGGTTTATTCACTTAAATCCTGGTATTGTGGTTACTCTTTTTGAGAAGAAATTCAACCCCAAATCCTGATTTTTTTTTTCTATGTACAGTTTTAAAAAATGTTTTCAAGTGGGGGGAGTATAAAAGTAGTGGTGAGCAACTTGGTGTATATGTGTTTATGCCATATTTAAGTATTTTTAAATACAGGTGTGGTATTTTAATAGCTAACAAATTTGGGTGTACTATTGTACTCCCATTAGTAACTCTTAAGAGGTCAAGCGTATTGGTTAAGAAGATGGGCTTTGGAGTCAGATATGTCTCGATTTGGATCCTTTGTGCACTGCTTTACTAGCTCTGTGGCTTTAGGCAAGTTTACCATAGACCTCATTTTTCTCATCTCTTTGGAGTCAGTAATAGTGCATACATCATAGAGTATTTAATAGGATTTAAATAAACTAATTTACAAAGTGCCTGCACATAGCAAACAAATAAATATTAGCTGGCGTTATTATTCTTTTAAAATGGAAAAAATCTTATACCTAGTATAAGAATTCCTCTGAGAAACTGCCTTTGATGGGAGAATGCTTTGATAAGCCAGCTTGGTAAGTGATTCCACGAAGAATAATGAGTATTTGTGTATTGTTGATTTGCACAAAAATTAGATTGTCATTTATCCTTTTTCAGTCTTTTACTGAGATATTATTTTACCTTGTTAGCCATTGTTTGTATTCCATATATTAGTTAGCTTCTTTCAAGTATATTTTTGGCCACTTGAAGGCAAATTTGGTGGCTTAAAGATCTTAGTGTTGTCTTTGAGTTGTCCTTTTCCTTTTCTCCTTTGTCCAATCAGTTATAAAGTCCTGTTAATTTTATACTGTTACTGTTTTTTATCTCTCTATAAATATTGTCATAAAATTGAAAGAAAACAGTAAAGGAGAAAATGATGATTTCCCTGTAACCCACTGTTCAGAGATAATCCTGTTAACATTTTGGAGTATATCCCATTAGAATTGTTTTTCTCTGTGTGCAAATACATGCGCACATAGTTGGTGAAGCTCTATTAGTTTTTCAGGTGATACCTGTGTTTCTTTTTTTCTTTGTTTCTACTGCTATTGCCTACTCTAAACTTATTTCCAATGCCTGGATTGTTTTTTAAAAATAAACTTTTAGTATATCCTATCCTTTCTTCCTTTCAGTCCCACCTACCACCAGATTGATCTTTCTAAATATTTCTTAAACTCTACATATTTTTTGAAAATCTTTAGTGTGACTTGGTTAAAAATCTTTTGTGTCCCATATCCCATTATCTATTGGGTTGTCGGAAAAGTCATGATGCATTTTTGCAACGAAAAACATAGAAAACATATGTCATGACTTTTCCAACAACCCAATATATCACTTACCAACTAACTCAGTTTAGTGTTCAAAATGTGCTTCATGCTTTGATTCCTCCACACCTTTGTGCATGCCCATTTTCCTCTGGTTCTATCCTTACTAAGCTTTAGGAATGTGTTCGTAGTAAGCTCCACATACATCAGCAACAAATATGAAGGAAGAGAATTGTTATTATGAGTTGAATTGTGGAGAAAAGCAAAGTATAACAGAGAACAGCAAGGATACAAATAAGTACAGTAGTTCCTCCTTATCTGCTCTTTCGCTTTCAGTGGTTTCAGTTGCCTGTGGTCAACTGCCTGTGGTAAACTGTGGTCCATCTAGAATGTTAAATGGAAAATTCCTGAAGTAAACAATTTATGTTTTAAATTGCACGGTGTTCTGAGTAACATGCTGAAATCTTTTGCATTCCTTCTTTGTCCCACTCGGAATGGGAATCATCCCTTTGTCTCCAGTATCCCCACGCTGTATATGCTCCCCGCCCGTTAGTCACTTAGTGTAGCCATCTCAGTTATCAGATCAGTTATCAGAGAGAGACACACACACATACACACACCACATTCACATAACTTTCATTACGCTATATTATAATCCTATTTTATTAGTCACTGTTAATCTCTTACTGTGCCTAATTTATAAATAAACTTTATCATAGGTGTGCGTATGTATGTATAGGAAACATAATCTATATATATGTATAGGAGAAAACATAATCTATATAGGGTTCAGTACCATTTGAAGTTTCAGGCATCCACTGGGGATCTTGGAACGTATCCCCCGAGGATACCAACATATTACAATAGAATGCATTCCTCAGTAAAGTGAAATAGATATTTAAATTCTATAAAATTATTTATTACGTTTCTTTGACTCCTGGTGAATTCTAGCTCCTGCCATTGCCATCTTTGATCATTGAAATGTTCTTGTTAAGATTCAAGAGACGTTCCACTTCCTGAGGTTCCCCATTTACCAGGCTACATTTATGTCATATTACTCTAATCTCTTATATTGTTTAGTGTCTGAGTTTGATATCAACTTGTGTATTGGCTTGATTTTTTCCCCCCTTTAAGTGCCTTCCATGTATAACCTCTTGAATATACTACTACTATATTTTGAATTCCTTTCTTTTTAAGATTTATGCCTCCCATATATACTTGAGATAATTCTTATACAATAAAATTCTTCCTTTTAAAATCTACAGTTTACTGGTTTTTAGTGTATTCACAGAGTTGTGCCACCATCACCACTATCTAATTTGAGAACGTTTACATCACCCCAGAAAGAAACTCCTCACACTTTAGCAGTCACTCCCATTCCCCTTTTTCTCCTAGTCCCTGGCAACCACTAATCTACTTTCTTTTGTATTTTATGGATTTGCCTTTTCTGGACATTTCAGTTTATTCTTTTAAAAAAATAATATAGATTGTTTTGATACAAACTTAGTAAAGAATTTTATTTTAAATAGAAAGCTGTATTTACATCTAATGGCTTCTTGAATAGGTAGTTTTTAATGAGAGATATTTTGTTGAAGGATTGGGTTTTGGAAGTGGGTATGGATTAATGGATAGGAGAGGACAGGACGTTTTAAGTAGAGGAAAAATCATAAACAAGAGGTGATGAAGAAGTTGAGGTAAGCAAAGAACTTGGTTTGAGACTTAGTTCCTTCTTAAACCTACCTTGATCTAGAAATACACAAATAATGAATATGATTTATTTTTCTCTCCATCCAGTCTGTGGCTCCAGCGGCCTTATTTCTAGCAGCTAAAGTAGAGGAGCAGCCAAAAAAATTAGAACACGTCATCAAGGTAGCACATGCTTGTCTCCATCCACAGGAATCGCTTCCTGATACTAGGAGTGAGGTATGGGATTAATTACACATGTCTGTTTTTCTTAATTTATTTTGCTCATAACTTACTTTTGTAACTTTGATTTATTGACGTCTGAATGGGAGCTGTTAAGGAAACCTTTTAGTGTTTGTTTTTTCCCTTAACAAAAACATCATAGAAATTTTATGGCAAAAGTAAATTGTATTCATTGTAGTAAAGTGGAAAATGCAGAAAAAGAAAGATAATTTGAACCACAGATATATAAGTGAACCATTATTTCCAGCTTCTTTTCTATGAATGGCTATACATGTATATGTTTTGTAGTTTTCCACTTACTATATCCCAAATATTTCCTATTTTATTAATTTTCCACTTGCTTTAAATGGCGAGATAGTATTTCATCATGTACATGTATTTATATTTTAACCATTCTCTATTTCAAGAGAACCTTCTAAGAAATCAGAAAAGTTCTATATGCTCATTATAAAAGAATCCAAATACTGAAGACTCATTTAAAGTAAAAGTTAAAGCATCTCCCCATCCCCGCCTAGGAGGATGCTGCTGATGACAGTTCCAGTATACTGTATTCTTCCAGACCTTTAGTCTGTGCATATACATAGAGCTTTTTTCCCCCCTCCATTCCTCCTTGACTTGCTTAAAGACAGGAAACTCGCTCCTGGCTTTAGAAGTCAGTGATTGGGGAGTGGTGAGTTGTGAGAAGTAGAGAGGTCTGACATTTTAAGTGCTTGGAGAAAAATCAGGGATTTCTGTTACTACTTAGATTATTTAAGTCTCTTACAGCGGATGCATGAGTTGTCCTTTATCATGTAGATAAATGGAATTGTGTGTTCTGTTGATCATTTTGGATAAAGTGGTTTTTTTTGGATAAAGGGGTAGGGTGTATTTTTTGTGTTGATAATAGCCCCTAATTATGTGAATTAAGTGTTTTGCATAGCAGTGTCTTGACTTCCTTCATTTTTTCTCTTAGGGCTGCACAGTAGCTCTTACTGAAAAGAGTTATTGCTCTGGACTTTTATTTAGGTTTGAGAGTGACTTCTAAATGCCATTGGTCTATAGAATTGACCTAATAAAATAATTTTAACAAAATAAAACAAAACATAGTCCCCACTTATTTTTTCTTCTCTAAAGTATATTTATGTAACTTCTCACTTGAGTTTCTGTTCCTTGTGCGGTGATTAGGGGACGATATTTCCTTCAGTATATGGAACAGAGAATTAGCATAGTTTAAGTCCTTATTGGACTTATTAAAGATCAAAAAGTTAAGTGGAAAGTTTAACAAACATGAGTCTCGTTAACTCCTGGCCAAAGCCTCATTTTCCTACACTTTTAGACCAGTACGTCCAATAGCAATATAAGGGGAGTTATGTATAGTTCAAAAATTTTTAACTTTCCTTAAACTGTATTTAAAATATTTACTTTAAAAAAGTAAAATTTTAACATTTTATGTATTTTTTAAATCATAAATATTGTTATTTTAGCATATAATCAATATTAAAACATTAATGAGGTAATTTACATTTTTATTGTTATATTAACTTCGTCTTCAAAATCTGGTGTGTATTCTACGCTCATAGTGCATTTCGGTGTAGACCAGCTACATTTAAAGTGCTCAATAGCCACGTGTGGATAGTGGCTACAGGATTAGCGGGTACAAATCTGAGAGAATTTGTTTGTTCCCTTTACATTTGAACTCTTCTATGAATTTTTAGAAATCTAGCATTACCCCAAAGGGGAAGGTTAATAGTCAGATGTTTGAGATTGCCTACATTGCCTATAGCAAGGCTTTGCAAATGTATTTTGATGATGATGTAGACACATGAATATTTCAGTTTTCAGCAAGTGAACTTTTAAAACTTAAAATGTCAGTCTGAAAATGAACCAAATCTCTGGTGCTTTTTTCTGTAGCCATTTATGAATAAAGTGTTCCTTCTCAGTATACCACCATTTTTCTTTTAAAAGCAGGATATATACTGAATGGTGATAAAGATTAATTTCAGTTTCTACTGTACCTCATAACTCCACCTCTGCTTTTTGTGGCTTTGGTTTCCTTGGGATGGGTTGTTAGAATTGTTTACACTTTACATATTGTGCGTTATGTGTCTTCTCACCTACAGGCTTACCTGCAGCAAGTTCAAGATCTGGTAATATTAGAAAGCATAATTCTGCAGACTTTAGGTAAGTTTATTTTTCTTTAAAACATTAAAGAAACATATATGTGTAATATGTGATTTAAAAATTGGCAAAATAGGAAAGAGGAGGAAAATGTCTTGGAAAGGGTTTGCAAATTCTAGAGGTTGTAGAGCTCAGTTTTACCCTGGCCTATAACAAAGAAAGAATAAAGGCACAGCTTTGAAATAGCAGTTGCCAGGTTTGTTTGTTTTTTCATTCTAGAATTCATGATTTGCTTTTTAGGGTTTGGTAGTTTTTAACTTTCTGATAACTAATGGCAGAAACTATTTTAAGAAATTTTTTCCTTCAGTGGATTTTTATAATCTGTCATCGTATTTAGATTATAGCATTTGTTTTTAAATTGGTAATCAGAGTTCAGAACAGCAGAGTGGAGGTGGAGGAATTCAAGGTACAGTAAGACCTCGCTTAACATCATCAGTGGGCCCTTGGACACTCTGGCTTTAAGTGAAACAATATATAACGAAACTAATTTTACCATAGGCTAATTGATATAAACAAGAGTTAAGTTCCTTTGGCATATTTCTGATCACAAAACATCACTGAACTTGTAAATAAAGACCCAAAACACTTCTAATATTAAACATTGAAATGAATGTGAGCTATACATACATTTAAGAAAGATTAATAAAAACAAGTAAGATAATGATTTTCCAGCCCATGTATTTCAGCTCAGGGTTGCGGTTGGCTGAAAAGCTATCCCAGCAGCTCAGGGTGCACTCTGACAGGACACCCTTCCATCGCAGGGCACATCACACACACCCACACTTGCTTAGACGGGGACAACTGAGACAAGCTGATTCACCTAATGTGCACATCTCTGGGGCATGGGAGGAAACCTGAGTACTTGGAGAAAACCCATGCAGACATGGGGAGAATGTGCAAACTCCACACCGACAGTGGCCCCCACTGGGAATCAGTTTTTTTGTTTTGTTTCATCAACATTGTAATAAAATGATGTTGAATGAAGTTACTTGAGGACCTGCTGTATAGTGGTTCATGGGCAACTTGGATGATGTTATTGTTATTTTCATCAGAGAGACTTTTTAAAAGCAAATATGGAAAGTGAAGATTTTTTTCTAGTCTTTTTTGGCTATCATTTTTTTCGTTAGGTAGGGGAGGATTTCATGAGCTGTGTTGGAAAGTTACTGATACAGCTGTATTTTATTGCATACACACACACACACACACACACACAGAGTTCTTCAAAGTTTATCTCTGATGTTAATTTCTGCTAATTAACCTTTTTACTTTAAATAAATGATCTTTAATGTAACTATGTTTTAATGGACAATGGTATTTTTCTGGTGGAATAAATTTTTATTAATATTTTAATGTGGAAACCAGTAAGATCTAATTTGCAAGAATCAGTTACCTTTTAGAATTTATGCCATGTAAATTTCTCAATTGAATTTCTTTATCTAGAAAATTTTATTTACATAGGCAAAAAGAAAAACTCAAAAAAAATTTTATAGACATACTGATCCTCCTTAAGTAATTTTGGTAAAGATCATTTGGGATTGGATAAAATGATCAGTACCCATTGTAATTAAGATGATGAAAAGGAACAAAATAATAGTTTTTAAAATGTTTCCTCAAGGTTAAGCTTTGCAAGATAGTCATCACTTGAGTAACTGCTCCTTCCAACATATATTCTATTGTCCACTAAAACATGTTTTGTGTTCAGAGTGTATTAGGGTATTGGTTCCTCAGGGGCCTTGAGATTGCATTAGCTTTATTATCTTATGGTATCTTCTAGCTTAAAATATTATAAGGAGCTTTGGAGACAAAGCGTGCTATATACTTTGTGTGACTCAGCCTCTGAATAACAGTTTTGGGACAGGAAAACAAGGGAGGCCTGTAATGATGACTTAGATAAAACATGTATAAAATGTCTCAAGTACTTTGGCTTTTTAACCAGTTACTTTTTTTTAGGCTTTGAGCTAACAATTGATCACCCACATACACATGTGGTAAAGTGCACTCAACTTGTTCGAGGTAAGGAATCCCTGCTTGAGACTGTGCTCTTAATTTGTTTTACCATCTCATTTAGAGGCTAAAATTGCTGTGGACAAGTACATAACACAACTGTTTTGACCAAAAGTTTAATTGAAAGGCCTAACTGGCTTAAATCAAAATGAGTGATTCTGACTTGGGATTTTTCTACTGAGTTCTTAAAAATGTTTTTAGGTGATCTCTCTCTCTTTTTTTTAATCTTTTTTTTTTTTTTTAAAGATTTTTTATTGGGGAATTGGGGGATGGGAACAGCACTGGGGAATTGGGGGAAGGCGAAAAGACAAGTTGCTGTACTTTTTGTTCTTCAGTCTAGTTGTGGAGGACGTTGCTTCACTGGCCCAAGTTGGCACCATCATGGCACTCTTCCCGGGCGAGGCAGATCAGTCGCCAGCTTCTGGACAGCCGCTCACTGCGGCTGTTGGCCGCTCACGCTGGCTGCTGGCTATATACGGTAGCCCATGGCAACCCACTGCAGCAGGGGCTGCAGCCTATGCCATTGCCAGCGACTCATGGCAGCCCAGCTCCAGGTTGAGCTGTTGTTCAGCATGTTAGCAGTGGAGGGCAGTGTCACTGGCCCTCATATGTGGGATCCGAACTGGGGCCCTCTGGCGTTCCAAGCTAGCTCTTAACCAACGTGCCACTCAGCCAGCCCTAGGTGATCTCTTTTTAAAGAGAATTAGCCTCTTGAGGATGTTTGTCAAAGCTGGGGGCAGATTTTGAAAAGTCACCAAATCATAAATAACTAAAAGCAATTTTAAGGATGTCTTGGGAGTCGGCGATCTTCGATTGTAGGATTGATTGCCCTAGACATTCTTAAAGACTACCCAGAGGATCATCTAGAATTTAATTTGAACTAATTGGGTTGTCGGAAAAGTCATGACGTATGTTTGTGACAGATGGCACTAGTTCATTTTTGGAAGTACTAGAGTCGTTCACATCTATGGTATTACTATGTCATTTGACAGCTGACAGTTCTAGCTTCATTCTAAAAAAAAAATTGAGCAATTTGGTTGAGTTTTGGAGATTTTACAACAAGTTGAAGATGGAAGACCAAACTGCATTTTTGCCATATTTTACTATTTTACTTCCATAAAGGGAAGAACGTGAGTCAAGCTTGTGAAAAGTTGCATAAAGTTTATGGTGACAGTGCTCTACAAGAACATCAGTGCCAATGATGGTTCACGAAATTTCATTCTGGTGATTTTGATCTCAACGACACTCCTCCGTCAGAGAGGCTCACCAAGGTTGATGACGACAAAATAAAGGCGTTGATCGAGTCAAACCCACGTTACATGACATGAGAGATTACAGAAACATTGAACATCCATCATTCAGGTGTTCATGACCACCTGAAGAAGCTGGGATACGTAAGCAAGCTCGATATTTGGGTTCTGCATGAACTCAAAGAAGTTCATTTGATGGCGTGTGTAAACATCTGCAATATGCTCATTAAATGTGAGGAAAACGATCCTTTTTTGAAGTGACTGATAACTGGTGATGAGAAGTAGATTGTTTACAACAATGTGGTGCACAAACAGTCTTGGTCCCAACGAGATGATTCACCTCAAACGACATAAAAAGAGCAGACATTCAGCCGAGGAAGGTTATGCTCACAGTGTGGTGGGATTTTAAAGGTGTCGTGTTTTTTGAGCTCCTACCAAGGAACCAAACAATCAATTCGAATGTGTACTGTCGGCAATTGGACAGTTTGAACGAATCCATCATCCAGAAATGTCAAGAGCGTGTTAATTGGAGTTGTGTTTCATTGCAACAACGCTAGACCACACACAAGTTTGATCACCCGTCAAAAATTATTGGAGCTTGGATGAGATGTGTTGCCACACCCACCATACTCACCTGACTTTGCGCCGTCAGACTTCCACTTGTTTCGCTCTCTTGACAACTCCTTGCGTGGTATAACGTTCAATTCAAATGAGGCTGTAAATCAGCACCTTGTTCAGTTTTTTGCAAATAAAGACAGGTCCTTCTATGAACGAGGAATTATGAAGCTCACTGAAAGATGACAAAAGGTTATTGAACAAAACGGGCAATATATCATTGGTTGATCTTTGTTCTTTATATAAATAAATGACCTTTGAAAAACAGACAAAATACGTCATGACTTTTCCGACAACCCAATATTTCCATACTTGACCATCCCTAGTCAGAACTTCCTTTTTATTTTAATTTAGTAGCTGTAATTGCAGGAAACCTAGCTCCTCTCATTTAGTTTAAATAGTAGTATCATGAATAGCTACACATCATTGTGCATTTCAGTGCCTTTTTAGACCATACTGATAATTGGCCTTGTTTTGCATTTCATTTATGTGTGTTTTATCTGAAAATTCTGAACGTTTTATCTGAAAATTCTGAACGTTTTCCCTGAGTTCTTTCTATTTTGAAAGCATTAAAAGGTCTATATTGGGCTGGCCGAGTGGCGCGATGGTTAAGAGCTGGCTTGGGACGCCAGAGGGCCCCGGTTCGGATCCCACATATGAGGGCCGGTGACACTACCCTCTACCAAAAAAAAGGTCTATATTGAGCAAGGTTAGGATTAAACAGAGATGAATATATGCTAATGTTTAAGGAAGATTAAAATTTGCTTTGTCATCTAGAGCAGTTTTCTTTTTTAAGAAGAAATTTTTTTTTGTAATTTATTAAATAATTTTGGTTGATGATTTTGAGATAAAATCACAGATTACTTGAAAACTTTTTTTTTTTTTTTTAAGATTTTTATTGGGGAATTGCGGGGAGGGGAACAGCGCTGGGGAATTGGGGGAAGGGGAACAGACAAGTTGCTGGCCCTCCTATGTGGGATCCGAACCGGGGCCCTCTGGCATCCCAAGCGAGTTCTTAACCATCGCGCCACTCGGCCGGCCCGAAAACTTTTTTTTTTTAAGTACAAATCACTTTTCCAAACATATTAAGATCTTGCGTATTCTGATTTTGCCTCCAAATTAGTTCATCCCCCAATTCAGTATTTTTCAGTGAACCCTTATATCAGAATCTCTGGGTTACTTGTTAAAAATGCTTATGTGCTTCTCCAGACATATTGAGTGAAACTCTAGAAAGGATGCCCAGGAATTGCATTTTAAACAAGTGTCAGATACCTGGTGTACAGAGTAAAGCTTGAGGCCCTAGGTCTGGAAGCAGCATATTTATTAATAATATAATTAAAAATTGCTAATCTGTCTTTGGTAGAATGTAAACTTAAGGTGGTTAGGGACCGTGTCTGCTTCATTCACCATGATATTTTCTACCTTGCAAATATTAAATGCCAAATAATTGTTGAGATTAAATGGAACTGATAACTTTTTCCCTCTCCCCTTATCTTTTTTTTTTTTTTTTTTTATAGCAAGCAAGGACTTAGCACAGACTTCTTACTTCATGGCAACCAACAGGTTTATATTTTAATATTTTTCCTTTCTATTTTTGGGATAGGACTTTACTTGGGTTGGGACTGTCACTTTTTGAGAGGCATGTGGAAAGATGTCAGGTAGTAACTAGAATTCAAAGGCCCAAGCATGGGTCTCTGATACAGTGTGTTATATAGACAGTTCTCTGGCAAATGTTGATTTTTATGCACACTTTTCATTTGTACCTTAATTTCCATGGTGCTTTTTAAATTTGCTAAGGTGATATAATTATTTATGGCTGGTTGAGAGCCTACTTAATTCTGCATGTGTTAGTTAGCTTTAAAACATATAAGAGCTTAGTTCTGAAAGTTGGTAATCTTGGAATTCATTGACAGTCACTGGAAATCTGATTGGAGGATTCTGCAATAATTAGGATATTTTAAAAGACGTGTTTTTCTTGCCCCACTCCCAGATAAATGGGCAAATATATGTGTAAAGAATTGTGATCCTTTTTCTTTCTTCCCTTTTTAAAGAAAAAATTATTAATATATAACTTGTGTTACCAAATGACTTGCTCATTCTAATTTCCAATCTACGGTGGTTCATAGAAACCAAAGATATTTCCTAATGACTGTCAGGGCTAAGAAGTTCATTTTTACAGCCTGATAGGAGAAATTTTAAAATAAACCATCAAGTATATTCAGATGTGAGAGAGTGATTGTCTATTCATTATTTTAAATAGGCCAGACCTTGATTTGCAGGAGACAAGATATTTTTAGGGTATATCCTTAAGTATTTGATTTAGGGATTATACATATCAAAAATAACTTCCCTTAAGCTCTGAGCTTATTCTCAGAATAATTGATCCTTGCTTTAAACAAAACTGAGTATCCATTTTGTTTTACTTATTTTTTGTTCCTTTGTCAGTTCTGTGGATTGAATGATGTATAGTCAAAAATTTATAAATGTTACCTGAGCAGGTGGGTTATTGGAAAGTCATGTTGAGTGCTGGATCAGAGCACTGGATATTTCTTGCCCTTCTTGCTCTCCAGTGGTTTTTTAATTTTTTTAAATAATGGAGAGTTTTAACTTTGGGTTCAGAATTGAGAGCTCATGACACTCTCTTGTTTCCTTCCCTCTGGTGTCAGCCTGCATTTGACCACATTTAGCCTGCAGTACACACCTCCTGTGGTGGCCTGTGTCTGCATTCATCTGGCTTGCAAGTGGTCCAACTGGGAGATCCCAGTCTCAACTGATGGCAAGCACTGGTGGGAGTATGTTGACGCCACTGTGACCCTGGAACTTTTAGATGGTAAGTTTTAGAGTAAGGGTCCTTGAAACGCACTTGATCTTGATCTGTCACATATCTGGCCAAAGGTGACTTGATGCAGATGAAAATAGTTAGTTGAGGTTATTCTTGTTTCATTCCTTCTGCCTCTCTGAGTTTTCCTTAAATGTTCTATTTCATTTGCAGAACTGACACATGAATTTCTACAGATTCTGGAGAAAACCCCCAACAGGCTTAAACGAATTCGGAATTGGAGGGTAAGAATTATTGCTGTTAGCATGTGGAACAAACCATTTTCTTCTTTTGACTGCCCCAGTGAATATACCAGAGCTGGTTATGTACCCTAGGTTTGGAATTTCCCTTTGTGTGGTTATGCAATAATCATGACTTCAACTTCTTAGCTTGGGTGCTGGCCTAGAGTCAATGGTTATAGGTGATAGCTGAACTTTTGTGTTTTAGTTTTGTGGTATAGTCTTTTGGTCAGCAGTATTGGTTGTGTATTTTTTGTATGGAGACTGTGAGGGGAAAAAATGTGGCTTCTTTGAGTCACAGAGTGTTGGTTTCTCATAGAGGAAAAACACAGTGTTACAAAGTTAGAGCTGATACCATAATTTTTATCTTTTTTTTTTCTTTTTATAAAGATTTTATTGGGGAATTGGGGAAGGGGAACAGTGTTGGGGAATTGGGGAAGGGAACCAGCCAAGTTGTTTTCTTTCGATCTTAGTTGTGGAGGGCGCAGCTAGCTCAGCTCCAAGTCCAGTTGCCATCCGGCCGCCCCGTCTGCAACTTGTGGCTGCTCAGCTCAAGGTGCCATGTTCATTCTTAGTTGCAGGTGGGCGTAGACCACCACCCCATGTGGAGGTTGAAGTGGCAACCTTGTTGCTAAGAGCACTTGCTCTAACCAACTGTGCCACCCGGCTGCCCATTTTTAAATCGGGTTGTTTTTGTTGTTGGGTTCTCTATATATCCTGGGTATTAATTTCTTAATTATATGATTTATAAATATTTTCTCCTATTCAGTGGGTTGCCATTTTTACTCTGGATAGTATCTTTTGATGCACGAAATTTAAAAATTTTTATGAAGGGGCCGGCCGAGTGGCTCAGTTGGTTAGGAGCTCGCTCAAGAGTTTGAGCTCTGAGCAACAGCGGTTCGATGCCTGGCCCGAGCTGAGTTGCTGCTGAGCTGCCAAAAGGTGGCAGGATGGCTCAGCTAAAAAAAAAAAAAAAATTCATGAAGTCCAGATTATCTTTTTGTTGTTGTTAACTGCCTTTGGTGTCATATCTAAGAAATCACTGCCAAATCCAATGTTGTGAAGCTTTTGTCCTATGTTTTCTTTTAAGAGTTATATTGTTTTAGGTCTTTCACTTAGGACCCTTACCCATTTTGAGTTAATTTTTGCATGTGATAGGTGAGGGTCCAATTTCATTCTTTTGCATGTGGATATCCAGTTTTTCCAACACAGTGTGTTGAGAAGACTGTCCTTTCCCCACTGAATGGTCTTGGCACCCTTGTCAAAAATCATTTGACCATATATGTGAGGGTTTATTTTTATATTCTCTACTCATCTGTATGTTTATCTTTATGCCAATACCACACTGATTGATTAGTGTACATCTGTAGTAAGTTCTAAAATCAGGAAGTGTGAGCCCTCCAGTTTTGTTCTTCACTTTCAAGATTGTTTTGGCTATTTGGGATCCCTTGAAATTCCATATGAATTTTAGGATAGGTTTTTCTATTGCAAAAAATGTCATTGGGATTTTGATCAGGATTGCATTGAATCTGTAGATTGCTTTGGGTCATATTCACATTTTAACAATGTTAAGTCTTTGAGTTTAGAACATAGAATAAGTTTCCATTTACGAGTATGTGTTATTTAATTTCTTTCAGCAGTTTTTTGCAGTTTTCATTGTTCGAGTCTTTCACATCCTTGGTTAAGTTAATTCCTAAGTATTCCATTGCTACTGTAAATGGAATTGTTTTCATAATTTGCTTTTCAGATTGTTCTTTGTTGTGTGTATAAAAATCCAACTGAATTTGTGTGTTGACTTTGTATCCTGCTACTTTGCTGAATTCATTTATTCTAACTTTTTTTTGTGGAATCTTGTGAGTTTTCTACATATCAGATCATATCATCTGCAAATAGGTAATTTTACTCCTTTTCAAATTAGGATGTCTTTTGCTTTTTTTTCTCACCTAATTGCTCTGATGAAAACTTCTAGTACTGTGTTGAATAGAAGTAGTGAGAGCGGGCATCCTTACCTTGTTCCTGGTCACAAAGAAAGCTTTCTTTCATCGAGTATGATGTTCCCTGTGGGTTTCTCATAATGGCTTTTATTATGTTGAGGTAGTTGGCTCATATTTGTAGTTCATTGATTATTTTTATCATGGAAATGTCTTGAATTTTGTCAGATACTTTTTCTGTATCAGTTGAGATGATCGTGTGTTTTTTCCTTCATCCTGTTTATGTAGCATATTATATGGGTTGATTTTCATATGTTGAACCATTCTTGCATTCCAGGAATAAATCCCACTTGCTCATGGTGTATAATCTTTTTAATATGCTGTTGAATTCAGTTTGCTAGTATTTTGTTGAGAAGTTTTACATCAGTGGTTATAAGGGATATTAGTTTGTAGCTTTATTTTCTTGTAGTGTCTCTGTCTGGCTTTGGTATCAGGGTAATGCTGGCTTCAAAGAATGAGTTGGAAAGTTTTCCCTCGTTTTTTAAATTTTTGCAAAAGCTTGAAAAGGATTGGTATTCTTTAAATGTTTTATAGAATTAACCAGTGAAGGGTGTTGGTGGAGATTCTTGATTGTTGATTCAATCTCCTGATTAGTTATAGATATTCAGATTTTCTATTTCTTTATGATTTAGTTTTGGTATGTTTTATGTTTCTAGGAATTTGTCCATTTCGTCTAGGTTATCCAATTAGTTGGCATACAGTTGTTAAATAGTACTTTTATAATCCTTTTTATTTCTGTAGAATCAGTAGCAATGTGTCTACTTTTATTTCTGACTTTCGTAGTTTGAGCCTTCTTTCTTTTTTCTTAGTTCATCTAGCTAAAGGTTAGTCAATTTTGTTGATCTTTTTCTTTCTCAAAGAACCAACTTTTGGTTTCATTGCTTTTCTCTATTTTTCTATTCTTTATTTATCTCTACTCTAATCTTTATTATTTCCTTCCATTTGCTAGTTTTGGGTTTAGTTTGCTCTTCTTTTAGTTCCTTGAGTTGTAAAGTTAGTTATTTTGAGATCTTCCTTTTCTTTTTTTAATAATCTTTATTTTTTAGTTAAGTATAGTCGACATAATATATTAGTTTCAGGTGACAACATGGTGATTTGACATTTATATACCTTATGATATCACAATAAGTGTGGTCACTTATTATATTAGTGACTATTTTCCCTGTGCTGTACATTATACTCCTGTGATTTATTTTATAACTAGAAGTTTGTACCTCTTATTCCCCTTCACCTTTTTCATCCATCCCCCGCCCGCCTCCCTTCTGGCAACCATAAGTTTGTTCTCTGTGTCGATGAGTGTTTCTGTTTTGTTTGTTCATTGTTTTGTTTTGTGTGTTTTTTTTTTAGATTACACATGTATGTGAAATCATATAGTATTTGTCTTTCTCTGTCTTATTTTACTTAACATAATACCCTCTAGGTCTGTCTATGTTGTTGCAATTGGCAAGATTTCATTCTTTTTTTATGGCTGAGGAATATTGCATTGTCACATACCACATTTTCTTTATTCATTCATCTATCAGTGAACACCTGGACTGCTTCCATATCTTGGCTATTGTAAATAATGCTGCAATGAACATAGGGTGCATATGTTTTTTCCAATTAGTGTTTTCATTTTCTTTGGCTAAATGCCCAGAAGTGGAATTGCTGAGTTGTATGGTAGTTCAATTTTTAATTTTTAGAAGAACCTCCATATTGTTTTTCATAGGGACTGCATCAGTTTACACTCCGAACAGTGCAGGAGGGCTCCTTTTTTCCACACCCTCACCGACACTTGATGTTTGCTGCCTTTTTCATAATAGTCTTTCTAACAGGTGTGATATCTCATTGTGGCTTTGATTTGCATTTCCCTGATGCTTAGTGATGTTAAGCATCTTTTCATGTCTTTGGCCATGCGTATATCTTCTTTGGAGAAATGTCTATTCAGGTCCTCTGCACATTTTTTAATTGGATTGTTCGTGGGGTTTTTTTTTTTGGTGTTCAGTTGTATGATTTCTTTATATTTTTTGGTTATTAACCCCTTATCAGATATATCATTTGTAAATAACTTTTCCCATTCAGTACGTTGTCCTTTCAGTTTGTTAAAGATTTTCTTGGTATGCAAAAGCTTTTTAGTTTGATGTAGTCCCATTTTTGTTTATTTTTGCTTTTGTTGCCATTACCTGAGGAGACATATAAAAAAATATATTGCTAAGGCTGATGTCAAAGAGTTTAGTGCCTATGTTTTCTTCTGGGACTTTTATGATTTCAGGTCTTACATTTAAATCTTTAATCCATTTTGATATGGTATAAGAAAGTGGTCTAGTTTCATTTTTTTTTCATGTATCTGTCCAATTTTCCCAACACCATTTATTGAAGTAACTGTCTTTTCCCCATTGTATATTTCTGCCTCATTTGTCATAGATTAATTATCCATATGAGTGTGGGCTCATTTCTGGGCTTTCTGTTCCATTCCATTGAACTGTGTCTGTTTTGTGCTAGTATCATACTGTTTTGATTATATAACTTTGTAGTATACTTTGAAATCAGGGATCTTGATACCTCCAGCTTTGTTCTTCTTTCTCAAGATTGTTTTGGCTAATTTGGGGTCTTTTGTAGTTCCATATAAATTTTAGGGTTGTTTGTTCTAGTTTTGTGAAAAATGCCATTGGTATTTTAATAGGGATTATACTGAATTTGTAGATTGTTTTGGGTTATATGGACATTTTAAAAATACGAATTTTTCCAATCTATGTGCAAGATATATCCTTCCATTTATTTGTGTCATCTTCAGTTTTTTTTTATCATTGTCTTACAGTGAATTTTCAGAGTACGGCTGGTCTTTTGTCTTCTTGGTTAAATTTCTAGGGTTTTTTTTGTTTTTTTGATACAGTTGTAAATGGGATTGTTTTCTTAATTTCTCGTTTGATAATTTGTTAGTGTATAGACATGCCGCTGATTTTATTAACTATAAATTTTAATCTGGTAACTTTACTGAATTTATTTATTAGTTATAATAGTTTTTTAGTAGATGAA